TTCCCGGGGAAACCCCGCGCGTCGGGAAACACTCCTCGGGAGTTTCCGGCAATTTTTTCTTTCTTTTATTTTTAATTTTAATTTTATTTTATTTTTAACAATAAAAGGAAGCCTTGTTCTCACGAGTCGGCTGCTTCGTTCTCGGTGTACGGACTGATGGACAACACCAAAAGCTCCTTCCTTCCACCTCCCTCTCAGGCTCCAAGGATTTAATTCCGTGCCCCCCTTGCCCGGCTCCCCCATCCTCGGGGGACCCGCTGGACCCCGGCCCGGGCAGGGGTTCCTCAGCCCCGGGCAGTGCCAGAGCCCGCGCCGCTCCCGGCTGTGCCGTGAGGGAACGATTCTGGGGTGGAAAACAGGGATTTCAGCCTCTGCCAGACCACGGACCGGCTCCCAGACCCCTTCCCAAGGCCCATGCGGGAGCCGGGAGGGGAAGTGGGGTGTTCTCCCGGGTGGGGAACGGCAGGGACCCCCCCTTCCCTTCATGGCAGATGCCACACAGGCACCACCAAGGCTCTCTCCCTTTCCATAGGGGAGTGCTTCTCCCCACTGGCTCCCACGGGGAACAGCTCAGAGCATCTGGGGTGTGAGTGATTTCCCCCTCCAACTCTGTCAAATCCAAGGGGATGTGCCAGGCTCAGCTCCAGCCTGGAAAAAAAATTCTCTCTCTAGGTAGAGCAGCTTCAGGAGCTCCACGGGGATGCTGTCCCAGGGTGACCCCCAAACCCACCAGCAGCTGGGGTGCAGAGGCAGCCAAAGCAGAGCCCAAGGAGGGGGTTGCTCCACAGTCAGGTCCTGCATCCCAGCCCCGGGCCATGGAGCCCAGGAACCCAACCCTCTGGGAGAGCACATTGCTCCAGGCATCGCTCCCAGGGCCCAGGAGGGCATTCCGGGTTCATCCCACCTCGGGCATGTGGCCGACCCACCCCACTCCTTCCTCCACCCCACTCCCACGAAAACTCACCCTCGCTGCTGGTTTTGTCCCGCTCAAAAAGCAAAATGACTTTTTTTTCTAGCCCCAAATCTTTTCCCCATCCGAGGGAGAAGGCCGTTCCCGGCTCCCGGAACACTGCATTACAACGAAGGATTCTGCTCCACCCTCAATCACTTGAAAATAATGAATCCAGGTTGATGATTCCTTCCTCCCAAGGTTACACCCGGGTCTGTCTGGGCTTTTCCCTGGTTGCTGGTGATTAACACCTGTGCCCTGGAAGGAAGGAGCACCGAGCACTGTGGCATCAGGGGCGAGAGCAGGGCTGGGAAGTTTACTGGTTTACACAATACATGAATTTAAGGGAAAAAATCCAAAGGGAAAGCGGAACTGGATGCTCTCCTCATTTTTTTTTTGTTGTTTTGTTTGTTTGTTTTGTTGCTTAAACAAATATTTTCGATGCTAAGATAGAGGCCGGGTAGAATTATTTTCCAAGAATTCAACATAAACGCGGGCGTGTGCAAGTGAAAGATACAAACAGGGCCTGGAGGGGGTTGAAAATTAACCACACGCTGCTGCTCAGAATTTCAAAAGCCACTTTATAAAGCAAATAAAAATATTTACCGATTTGGTACACTCACACAGAAAAATCCCTAGAAAGAGGTGCTAAAAACGAATGGAATCTCTGCCCTTCCGCGGCTATTTTAAATTAGGTATCAAACAGACAAATCCACCTCCCCTGCTCGGCTGTGCCCCCAGTAACCAAGCCAGAAAC